CACAGAAAATTTTAAGGAAAAAATGGTTTGGGAACAATCACAGTCAGTACCACTGGTGAAACACAAGCAAGTAATTCAGAAGGTGCTTCTGGGCTCTGGAAAACCAGTGGGTTTAAAATGAATGAACTGGGTTGGGAAAGACCTTTGAGATGGTTGAGTCCCACCACCACCTTGTCACCCAGACCACAGCACCGAGTGCCACACCAGGCTTTCCTTGAACACCTCCAGGGATGGTGACTCCACCACCCCCCTGGGCAGCCCTTTCCCATGCCCAGGCACCCTTCCTGCGAGGCCTTTTCTCCTCATACCCAGCCTAGACCTCCCCTGGTGCAGCTCAGGGCCATCCCCTCGTGTCCAGGCTGCTCCCTGGGCACGGAGCCACCCTCTCCTGCCAGGGAGCTGACCCGAGCTGACCGCTGCAGGAGCTTCCGAGGGATCACCAACGAAGATTCCATCATGAGAGAGATCAACCTGCTGGCAGCCATCCTGGAGAGCCCCGAGCTGTGCCTGCAGGACACCTTCATCATCGCCGGCTACACCAACCCGGCTGCTGCCAACCGCCACAACGAGATCTGGTTCCTGCAGCGGCCCTGAGCTGCTCCTCCTGCTGCCCCATGGAGCCTGCTCCTACTGCCCCATGGAGCCTGCTCCTCCTGCTGCCCCATGGAGCCTGCTCCTCCTGCTGCCCCATGGAGCCTGCTCCTCCTCCTGCTGCCCCATGGAGCCTCCTTCTGCTGCTGCTGCCCCATGGAGCCTGCTCCTGCTGCTGCTGCCCCATGGAGCCTCCTCCTGCCCCACAGAGCCTCCTTCTGCTGCTGCTGCCCCACGGAGCCTCCTGCCCCTGCCCCATGGAGCCTGCTCCTCCTGCTGCTGCCCCATGGAGCCTGCTCCTCCTGCTGCTGCCCCATGGAGCCTCCTTCTGCTGCCCCACGGAGCCTCCTCCAGCTGCCCCTACCCCATGGAGCCTGCTCCTGCTGTTGCTGCCCCATGGAGCCTCCTCCTGCTGCCTCTCACAGGTGAGGCCGGGCAGCCCAGCTGTCCCCACCTCACAGGTCAGCACCGGGGCTCTCAGCTGGGTTAGGAACAACCAGCCCAGCTCAGTCCTCACTCACAGACCCCTGTGGTGACTCTGGCTGCTTCTACACACATTTAATTGAGGTTTTTAACACTTTAAAAGTTCACCTTATCTATTTTTTTGACGAGGTAAGAGAGGCACAGACCTCTTCCCTCAGGCACTTATTGGCACCTCCAGCCTGCCCCTGGCTGGGATGGGGACATCCATCCCTGGGGACATCCTGGAGCCCTGCTCTGGTGCTGCACAAAGACCCTGCCGGGGCTGGCAGTGTGACACACCAAACCCACCTCACACAGGCACAGAAAGAATGTCCAGCTCTTAGTTCCTACCCGATTCAGCCCACTGGGATTAGAGTGGAGGCAGAGCGGGCCAGTGCTGACAGCACACAGATCCCAGTGCTTACCTCACACAGCTCCCAACCAAAGCACCCCGAGGCTGGAGAGAGACCAAAAAGGCACCACAGTCCTGCTGCTCATTCAAGTGTTGACAGTAAAATGATGGGTTCCCCTCACCACATCCTCCCAGAATCCCAGGGCTGGCTCTGGCATTCCTAAGGAGACACTGGTTATTTTTACCTGCAGTTTTCTCAGCAGGTCATTCACACAGCTCTGCTGGCTGTTAGAGTGAGTGCTCAGTACTTCTGGCACTCCCATGTTGATGGCATAAGTGGCACAGAGAAGATCTCAGCTGGGAGTGAGCTCAGGAACCCCTCTGCTGAGAGCAGGGCCAGCAGAGAGAGCTGCCCCAGCAGCACAGCTGGCTCTGAGCACCCCAGGACGGGGAGCACACAGCTCCCCAGGGCCCTGGCCCAGCTCCTGACCACCCTCACTGTGAGAGCTTTTTCCCCCTGACATCAATTGGTTTGTCCTTCAGCCCTCAGCTGCCAGCCTGGCCGAGCAGAGGCCGAGCTCCCACGTTCCAGAGCCCCCAGAAGGTCTGGGAGCAGCATTCCCACCGTTCCACACAGCCCAAGAGCACCTACTGCACTTTAGAGTCAGGCTGAAAAACAATTCTGCTCTCCAAAATCCCTCCCTAATGGCTCCCCTTACTGACATGATGGTAGAGTTTATTCTGGATACAAGTAAATGTCTTTTTATATAAAATTCACTGAGTACATCACCAGCATTATTTATTGGTCACAGGATTCAGGGTTCCATCAGAGCTTCTGTGCTCTTTAATTCTAACACACAGACCAGCAAGCAGAGCCAGTGGCTGCTAACTCACAGCAGGGTGAGAAAACAGCTCCAAAAATGGATTTATGAACCCTGCAGCCTCCTGGTCCCACAGGGAGAGCTCTGTGCTCAGCCCAAAACCTCTCCCTGAGCAGCAGGATCAGAGTGGCCCTGCCTTAAACAGGACCAAGGTGCCCTCTGGTGCCTGCTGTGCACAGAGATCCCTTGGGAAGCAGCAGGGAGAGGGGGAAAAGGAAACAGAAAATAAAAACTGAGGCACAAAAGCCTCAGTTTTAACACAAAAAAACCCCAAGAGTCTTTATGGAGAGGGAAAAAAAACCCCCAAATCAGCTAAAATGCAATACAGTGTCACAGCCTGGGAGAAGGAAAATTACAAATGCCAGCCAGTATTAAACTAAAAGCTCTTAAATAAAGAAAAATGGTAAAAATATTTTTAAAACTGAGTTGAGTAGAAGGCCCAGGGAGGAATTAAATAAAAGGTTTTGTTCTCATATCCTCCCCCAGATTTTTTTAAGAACCAATAAAAGTAATTTTCACCTTTGACAAGATTTTATGGCAAATTAAAGAAGTTTTTGCCATCTGATTGCTTCTGCCAGTTAGAGGAATTCTTGTAATGCTGTGGCACAGCAGATGTTGGATAGCTCCTGGAAGCAGTGAAATCCTCTCACCACAGAGCACCAGTTTGTACATAATTCACATTTCAAAGCTCTCCTGCAAAAGCAGCTGCTGTGTCTGATGTCCCTGTCAACCCCTCCTGTGGCTCAGCTCCCCTGGGGGATGTTCTAGAACCATCCCTGAACCTGGAGCAGATCTGAGTGTGTTGATTTCCCACCTGCAGCCCAGTGCTCCCTGCAGCTTTTGGCAAACTGTCAATTCCAAGATAGTATTTATTTATTTTGACTTCTGTTAGATGGCTTCTGTTGCTGAGAAAAAAAAAAAAAAACACCCAAAAACAAACAAAGCTATTTCAGCTCCAATTTGGAGATACACTTTATGGCTTGGTACCAACAGCTGTCACTGGCCACACTGCTGGCACAGCTCCAGTGCTTAGCTGACACAAAATACAGTTTGTTTAGTTGTCACACCAGTGAATGCCAAGCAAACATCACTGTTCCTCAGATCTGAATGCCCAGAACAGGTATTTAGTTATCCACCCGTGGCTCTACTTTGGGAGCCACTCATGGGTTTTCAGTTCTAATGTGAAGTTATTAGCTGTCCACTCATGAAAGGAGATAATAAATCAGCATTCACCCCTATTTTTGGAAGATAAAATGATGTAGCCTTAACAGAAAAGCGTTATCCTGCATACTGTGTATTTTCCAAACCAGAGGTAGTGCCTAAAAAGTTTATTCCAGCTATTGTGATACTCAGGGCCTTGCTTATTGTACGTAAAGTCACGTCCCCAGAGTTCCTCTGGCACTGTTGCGCTGTGCTGACACTGTCCTTGGTTCACACTGAAGTGTTGTCTTGTTTACTGTTTGTCACAATTAAAGAATGATTTTACTGTGCACAGGACAGCTCTCGTTCTTGCAGCACACACAGGGTGTGTGTCCTGCCCTCCTGCCTTGGATGCTGCTCTGCTTTTACAAAGCCCCAAAGCTGAACTGGTCACCTCAGGATGCAGAAGCTGAGGTTCCCCCGGTGCTGAGCCCTCCGTGCCTGCAGCCCTGGCTGCTGCTAGAAGTTGTGTTCTCCAGGAAAGCAGCAGCAATTGAAATGCAAATCCAGAGCAGAGGAAGGAAACAGCACTGCAGGCAAGGCTGCTGGAGCCCAGCCACCGTGCTCACTGCAGCTGAGAGCCCAAGTGAAACACCCCAAAGGAACCCCCTGCACTCCCACAGCCTCCTGTGGTGATGCAAAACTACTTCGAAGTTTCTCTTTCTCAGAAAAGTTCCTCATTTAAACACTCTCAGGTCACTGGGCTGAAAACAGCTGATGCACTCAGGAGTTTGCCTTCCAGTGCTCCTCACAAAGCTACACCTGAATCAATCAGCTTGAACCAAAACCATGCCCTGAGGCCAACAGTCTGATGTATAACTTAATCCTAACTTTTTATGCCTCTAAACAAACAAAAAAAGAGCAGATATTTTAAACTTTTCAGAGTGGTATTTTATGTAACATCATTTGCCTGCAAGTATCTCACTGGGAAGGCACAGATCACCGAGTTACAACTGGCTGACAAACAGCCCTGGCCCCCAAAAATCTCTCTTATATTTGGACATAAAGATTAAAAAGAAAATCATCATCATCATAAGAGAAATAGGCAAATAAATAAAAAGGCCAAATAAACCTATTAAATAAAAAAAACTCCAGGAGAACAAATTACTCAGATGAATTAAAGCTCTAAAGAATATTCTTAGTCAGAGGAAATATTCCAGTCCACACACAGATTACTAAAGGCGTTCTCAACATCTTAATCCTACTGAGTTCAGCCAAATGCAGAAACCTCAGCCTAGGTAAGGTGTCAATTCTGCAAAGACTCCTGAAAGAGGGTGAGGAAAATTCAGCTGCAAGTTTTCCACCTGAGCTTTTCAAGTCACTGCAAGGGAAAAGGTCTCACTGGTGCAAAGTGAAACTGCAGCTGCTGGAGTTTAAACCATGTTGTTCAATTTACCCTATAATCACAGTTAATTACATAGGAAAGTGTTGCCTTTATAAACACTGCAAGTCTAGACAGAGATGATAAAACATTTACTGGCCACTGACCAAAAAAAGGAAATGCAGGCACTCACCTTGATGTAAGTGTTCTGAATTTCTACCAGTTCTTCCCCAAGTGGAACTACAATTTTTTCCACTTGTCTCTCGTGAGAATAAGGCTGAATTTCTGGAGAATCTTCAGCACACACCTCTATCTGAGCTATCAGCAAGTTGGAGATAACTTGTTGCACAGCCTGGTAGAGAAGCCACAAAAACAAAGTAACTATTGCTGTATTTTAGCAGGGGTTACATAAAATTGTAAGGAAAAGGCACCCAGAGAGGTCGGGAAACAGAATTCCAGACTGGTTTGGGTTGGAAAGGAACCTTAAATCCCTTCCCATCCTGCCAAGGCAGGGACAGCTCTCACTGTCCCAATGTCCAGCCTGGCCTTGGGCACTGCCAGGGATTCAGGGGCAGCCACAGCTGCTCTGGCAATTCCAGCCCTGCTCCCCTCACCAATAAATAATTCATGGTTCATAGCATGGGAAACACCAAAACTTATCAAGTAATGGATTGCAAATATCAGTCTTGATGTGGAATTTCTTTTTCAGAGGTTTCAGGCAAACAGAGGTTCCACTGAACCCTGATTATTTAAATCATACTTTAAAGGTAGCTTTGTCTCACCTTGGTGTCACTGCCTGGGGTGGCACTCAGGGCCAGGACTCGGAATTGATTTGTGTATTTGCTCAGCTCCCTCACCACCTAAGAGCAGGAAAGCTTCATTAATATCCTTAAAGAGGATTATTTCCTTGTACAAACTACACCAATGAAAATACCCTCTAAGTAGGAAAGGCTTAACAAAACACTCTAAAAATACTAAATCAGAATGGTTTGGGTTGGAAGGGACCTTAAATCCCATCCCATCCCACACCTCCCAGTGTCCCAGGCTGCTCCAGCCCCAGTGTCCAGCCTGGCCAGGGATCCAGGGCCATCCTGGAAATGCACCAAGAACAAGCTGGGAAAATGATGAAATTATTTCTCACTTGATTTAACAAAAGTATTGACAGCTCACTAACTCAGGTGAGCTGCCAAAAAGTGACTCTGAAGAAAAGCTCTTAAAAAATGTAATTCATGGTTAATTAATCCCATGTAATCTGAACTCCACAAATATCCAGGAAATTTCTTCAGTGTATCAAAGCAACTTCTTAGGTCACCTATTCCTCTCAGGAGCTTAACCCATGATAATGCAACAAAGCCTTGGCTAATCAACACAAACTCCAAATTTAAAAAGAAATCTTGAACTGACTTGTCTTTACTAAAGAACCTTAAGAAAAAAACATTTTTTTTAACACTGCCCAGCCAGAAATATAAAAACTAAAATTTAAACTAAAATTAAAATTTAATGGAGGCACTGAAAGAAATCCCTGACATGTATCACTAATAAACAAGGCAGAGGCAACACACAGGAGTGTTGGATCTGTTTCAAAGTTGAGGCCCTCAGGGACAATCTCCCCTCAGCAATGATGCTTTATGGAGACCCTGTGAGCAATGCTGGGGAAGGGTTTGGTAACTGGGAGAGAAGAGCAGGGCGGCTCCAGCCCTACCTGGCAGTAGGCATGATTGCCAAGGGCTTTGTGGGCTTCATCAATAACCAAACATTTGATGTCCACAGCAGGACAGGTCCCACGAGAGAGGTCATTGACCATGATCTGAGGTGTGAGGAAAAAGACTCTCTTGGTATTCCACAGCTCCCGCCGGCCCAGAGCCTGCGTTCCTCCTGGAAAACAAAGGAGCAACATTAGGGAACTGTTCTGCTGAGAACAGGGTATGTATGGCCCACGGCCTGAGAGTGACAGGGCTGGCAGACACATAAAATCATTCCATAAAATCATGGGATTTTATTCAAGGGTTGGAAAGGGACCTTAAATCCCATCGCAGGGACATCTCCCAGTGTCCAGCCTGGGATCCAGGGACAGCCACTGGACACCTCTGCAGGGCTGCCCTCCCTCACCGAATACAACGACTAGGAAGAGATTTTTTTGCATTAAAAAATTAAATTCAGAACCATGGGAATCAAGGCTGGGAAGCTCAAGATGCCTCATAGCTGCTCACTGCCCTAAACATCATTTAAAACACCTCCGGGAAAGGCCTGAGCTTAAAAACAAGTCATGGGTTCAGTCATTAAGGCTGCTGCCACAGTGAGGAATAAACTGCAGCTCCGGGGGCTGCAAGAACTTCACAGAAAGGGGAAAGGAAAATGACGAGGAAAGTGACGAGGAAAGTGACGAGGAGGGAAGGAAGCGGCTATAAAATGGATTAAAAGAGTCATTATTCTTTGGCTTCAGCATCACGCAGAGCGCTCTGTGTGGTGCACGCTGGGGCCCACAGGGCTGCAGACCAGCGCTTCACCCTTTACACAGGTGACCTGGGGTTTTAACCGCGAAAGCAGCAGTTTTAACCGCGAAAGCAGCAGTTTTAACCGCGAAAGCAGCAGTTTTAACCACGAAAGCAGCAGTCAAACAGCTCTCAGTGTTCCTGTGGCTGTGCACACCGGCTGCAGCCGTACCTGTCATCTCCGCCATGTCCCGCCACGGGATGCCCATGAGGCGGCCGCACGCCTCCATCTGCTGCGCCACCAGCGGCTTGGTGGGGGCGAGGAACAGCACCTTCCCCGAGGGGAACCAGCGGTAGAAGTTGTACATGACCACGGCGGCCACGAAAGTCTTGCCCAGCCCCGTGGGCAGGCACACGAGCGTGTTGGCCAGCAGCGCGGCGCCGGCCATGCGCTCCTGGTAGGGCCGCACGGGCAGGTTGGTGGGGTAGATCCAGATGGCCCCCGCCGCCTCGCTGAAGCCCCGCAGC